TTTTGAATGTCCTAGTAACCCTTAACTGACTATAACAAACAAACGAATTTATGATTTATGAGTTATCAATAAAATCTAAAATGCTCAAATATAGTTATGGTCTAAGATTAGGTCGAAATTACACGTCACATAAAACTGTTTTTTCTTTCATCTCTTCAATTTCTTATTCTAAAATTGCCAACCTATGTTTCGAATATATTTATTAACATTTCCCTAACTATAATATAAAACAATTAAAACGTAAATACATATAACATAGTATAAAATAACATTATAAATATTAATTTAGATCTTAATCAAAAGTAACTATGGAACTAGTTTGTGCTTTATAGCTTAACACAAATAAAGTTGCTGACGTGGGTTGACCGTTGGCTGAACTTTTAAGATGTTTTATTAAACTTTGCTGGACATATAATCGAAGGTCCATTTGGCCACAGCTGAAGTTTTATTGCACAGATACGTTCAATAGTTTGTTAAAGTATTTATTTGACATATTTGAAATATCCTACGCTTTGAAAATGTATAGAACAGTTAAACAATAATTTTATATAAAATAGTTTACAGAGTAGAACTTACATACATTAACTAATAAACTGCATGAAATAGAATAAATTGCATTTTTCTATTACAATAATATAAAACGTGATAAATATAAAATCGAAGGAATAGTTGTAACGTCATCTATATCCAACATTTAAGTCAAATATCTGTCACAATACGTGCATAACGTTATGATAGATGAAAATGAATAGCCAATCCGTAAATACAACCACTTACTTTGAACCTTGGAGGATGGTTGTCTCATTGGCAATCATACCACATCTCTTGTTTTTTATCCTAAAGTATTTCAGGACCTTCATATTTCAATATCAGGATATCCTGAAATATTTCATGACCTTTACAAATAATCGGTAAAAATTGATTTATTTCTAAAGGTCCTTCAGAATTTAAAATTTCAGGATATCTTTGATATATATGGATGAGCGCGATAGTATTATATTTTTTTGTTCGTGTTTTTTATCTTCTTAAAATTCAACCACCATGGCTACCATGTCTAATCAAAGCGCGAAAGCGCTGTAAAGGCAGTTAATTACAGGTTGTGTGTATTTTTAGTCCAGTTATATCATTATCTTGCATAGTACAGTGTACTTATCAGAGGTGGCTTTCAGTATTTAAGATTTAGAGTTCTCTAATGATATTGAACAAGTTTTATGAATGTCATATTCTGAGCACTATATGAAGGCGATTGTTCTCACTTGTTTATGAACTAGTGCATTATGTCCAGTTTGTATCTTTTTTATCTATGTTTATAGTCAAAATAGTTATCAAAGGTACCAGGACTATAATTTAATACGCCAGACGCGCGTTTCGTCTATATAAGACTCATCAGTGACGCTCAGATCAAAATAGTTAGAAAGCCAAACAAGTGCAAATTTGATGATCATTAAGGACCCAAATTTCCAAAAAGTTGTGCCAAATGCGGCTAAGGTAATCTATTCCTTGGATAAGAAAATCCTTAGTTTTTCAAAAAATTCAAAGTTTTGTAACAGAAAATTTATGAAAATGACCATATAATTGATATTCATGTCAAAACCGAAGTGCTGACTACTGGGCTGGTGATACCCTCGGGAACGAAACGTCCACCAGCAGTGGCATCGACCCAGTGGTGTAAATAGTTATCAAATGTACCAGCATTATAATTTAATACGCCAGACGCGCGTTTCGTCTACATGAGACTCATCAGTGACGCTCAGATCAAAATAGTTATAAAGCCAAACAAGTACAAAGTTGAAGAGTATTGAGGACCTAAAATTCCAAAAAGTTTTGCCAAATACGGCTAAGGTAATCTATTCCTTGGATAAGAAAATCCTTAGTTTTTCGAAAAATTCAAAGTTTTGTAACAGGAAGTTTATAAAAATGACCATATAATTGATATTCAAATACTGTTTAAAATAGTTAGGCATTTTCTTTTTAGTAATAAGTAAATGTTATCAACTGTATTTTATTCAACTCTGCAAATGTGGTTTGTTACTGGTAAGTATGGATGATAGTTGTTTCATTGGCAATCATAACACATCTCCTTATTTATATAATGATTTATATTCAACGACCTCAGGTACAAAAAAAAATGTATGTAACTAAACTATGATGGGAAACCTTTGACTTCTTTCTTTTATATAAACTTTTGATTTGGTACCATAGAACTATGTAGAATAAATGTACATTGCAACATGTCAACTCTTTCAATGACAATACTTTTTTTAGAAACTATAACTCCAAGCAAAATTATATTTCCAAGTTTAAAGTAATTTATGAATGAAAAAAGGAGTTCTTAATTAAGAAATAAACTGATTCGCTGAGCGCAGCTGGATACACCCGCAGAGGTCCAACCCTGAACAGTTGGGGCAAAAATGGACACAATATTCAAGCTTGATACAGGTCTGAATTTGGATTGTAATTAAATATTTGACATATTATAGTTTCTGAATAAATGTAGTCAAAGAACTTGAAATCGGCTATATGAATTGAATTTATATTCAATTAAAGATTTCTTGCTGTTGTGCAATACACTGTGCTGTTGCGCAATACTTAATAAATCTGTTGCCAGACTATAAACAAATAAAGTTCAATTTCTTCTCAATGTCATATTTGAAATTTATGAAAATATATAGGGAGATTACATCAATAGCTATAAATAATTAACCAAAGTTTCATGCGAACTGCTTAAAGCATTTTTGAGTGGTTGTCCAACAAGGGTGCACACGCTGAAATGTCTCGCCTTCTTTACTAATCACTGATATTATGTTGATAGTCCTTAATATAAAGCTTTATTACAACTGTCACATAAACTTAACATTAACCAAGAAAACTAAACATTGACCAATGAACAATGCAAATGAGATCAAGGTCAGATGAACCATGCCAGGCAGGCATGTACAGCTAACAATTCTTCCATACAACAAATATAGTTGACCTATTGCTTATAGTTCAAGAAAAACAGACCAAAACACAAAAACTTAACACTGATGAATGAACTGTGAAAATGAGGTCAAGGTCAAATAAAACCTGCGCGACTGACATATAGATCATAAAATATTTCCATACACCAAATATAGTTGACCTATTGCATATAGTATTAGAAAAAAAGACCACAACTCAAAATCTTAACTTTGACCACTGAACCATGAAAATGAGGTCAAGGTCAAATGACACCTGCCAGTTGGACATGTACACCTTACAGTCCTTCCATACACCGAATATACTTGACCTATTGCTTAGAGTATCTGAGGTATGGACTTGACCACCAAAACTTAACCTTGTTCACTGATCCATAAAATTAGGTCGAGGTCAAGTGAAAACTGTCTGACGGGCATGAAGACCCTGCAAGGTATGCACATACCAAATATAGTTATCCTACTACTTATAATAAGAGAGAATTTAACATTACAAAAAATGTTAACTTTTTTTTCAAGTAGTCACTGAACCATGAAAATGAGGTCAAGGACATTGGACATGTGGCTGACGGAAACTTCGTAACATGAGGCATCCATATACAAAGTATGAAGCATCCAGGTCTTCCGCCTTCTAAAATATAAAGCTTTTAAGAAGTTAGCTAACGCCGCCGCCGCAGGATCCCTATCCCTATGTCGAGCTTTCTGCGACAAAAGTCGCAGGCTCGACAAAAACTGGAAAATCCCCCCTTTTTTAATGAATAAAACCCCATAACTCAGAAATGTAAAATCTAAAATTTATAAAATTCTAAAGGGAGCTTACGGATTGATAATTTAGTCTTAGATGCAAGATTTTTTTATCAGTTGTTAGTGGCTTTGAACTAACTGTCAGTAACTGCGAGTACTCTCAGATCTGTACTTAAGTGTCTTTTTGTTGTTTGGATGTACAACTGCCTGACCACGTCCACTTGTATTTGTATTTATCCATCTGATGAGTTAAGCCTCTTTCAACTGATTTTTATTGTTCGTTCTTATATTGTACTGTTACACCACTATCCCAGGTTAGGGGGAGGGTTGGGATCCCGCTAACATGCTTAACCCCGCCACATTCCGTATGTACATGTATGTGCCTGTCCCAAGTTGTCGGTTGTTTATGTGTTGCATATTTGTTATATTCGTTCATTTTTTGTACATAAATTAAGCCGTTAGTTTTCTTGTTTGAATTGTTTTACAATGTCATTTCGGGGCCTTTTATAGCTGACTGTGCGGTATGGGCTTTGCTCATTGTTGAAGGCCATACTGTGACCTATAGGTGTTAATTTCTGTGTCATTTGGTCTCTTGTGGAGAGTTGTCTCATTGGCAATCATACCACATCTTCTTTTTTATATTTACATCAACAGATATAAAATTTTAAACAATTCACCAAAGTCAAGGTGAGACAACAAAACTTAGTTGTAAGATCTCTGAAATTTTTTACACGGTACAAGTTTTTCTCATTGTTGGAGATTGTACGGTGACAGTAACACCTGTAACTGCTTAAACCCATTTCTTATGCACTTTAGTTCGATAAACTCACTGAATATCATACCGCATCTCCTTATTTTTATATGCATTACAATTTACATGTGCATGTAATTATAAATATATACATGTATATATACATCAGAACAAAATTCATTGCATCACTTTTATTTATGCATCCTTTGGCACAATACAAGTTCTAAAATTACACAACATAAAACAACTAAATGTTATTTCAGATGAAAGTTTTGTTTCAGTTCCATTCATAGGATTTATTAGAATTTTGTATGTTTTGCCAAGTCCAATAATTCGCTCTATGTGCACATGTTAATTAGAGACTTTTCTATCCCGTATAAGAGTTTTGGAACTAATTCTGTTTCTTTTTTTGAAAAAAAGTTAGGAAACAAATCTTGCACATTTAAACCTTTGTCTGCCATCACACTGTCACCTGGATCACATAGTTGAACTATTCTACATCTTTCAACTATTTCATAGTCACTGGTAGAACCAACATATACATAATAGAGACATAGTTGACTAAACCACCAGGTGTCGAACATACAAGTATTTTCAGTGTTTTTGTTTTTATATGATGAAAAGGTTGCCTGAGCTCTAGGAGCTTTAGGTTTTATCACGGGACATTCTGTGCTGTCAATAATAATCCAAGTCGTAGGAAACTTTAATCTAAAGTTGGATGGCGAAAAATACCTGACTAAACCACTAGATGGCCAAGTGTTAGCCTCACACCACTGTTTAGACATAAAAACAATCCATGTATACACAATATTCTTAACACTAGTTCAATCTAGAATCTAGACAGTTCAAAGTTGGTTGTATAATGCCTCAATTTCATCAAAGTCATAAAAAAACTGATTTTCAACTGACACCCTATCAATTTGAAAATATATGTATCTCAAACAATGTGCTGCTGGACCAAGTGTGATCAAAACAAATAAAAATTTAGTATACAACTCTAAACCGGTATAAAAATGCATGGCTGTGTCACGCGTCTTCATTTCAAAATTCTCTGCTGAAAACATAGGCATTGATGGTGTTTGCGTAATTCCATCTGTGAAGCTCAACATTAGCTCGGCAGTTGGTGGTGGACAGTCATAAATCCTTTCTGCAGTATGAATGACTTCTTCAGGAAAACCAACTTTACAATCAAAACTTTCCTCTAGATTTCTACTACAATATTCATCAAGTTTAGTTCTTTTGTTTTCACAGGGAACTGCCCTGATTTTTCTTTTTGTGGACGATTCAGTCTCTTGCTTGGTCCAGGAAAATAGGCTGGGAATGGCAGTAGACTTAAGTCTCTGTATGGTGGGTTTGCGCCCTGAAAAAGGTTATAAAACATTAGTTTTTTGATAATTCAATGAACTTCCATTAGCAATGTATACTTTGTACTACCTGGCGAAATATTAACTAGATTTATTCATTACAATCTGGATAAAACTATGTTTGCCTGATTCAATGTATGTTATGTAAATCCAAAGGACAAACAATGAGAGACTTATGCAACAAACGTACATTGTTTGTACCTAAATAACTATAATATAGATGAGATCATGTCATTGTTTTGTTCCTGTTAACATTTTCATTGATATTTTTCAAGAAAGTCTATGAGGCATATCTTATGCATTCCTGTCATTACTACATTGGCATAATTACTGCTAAAATAATTCTCAGTATGATATACCTCTTGTAAGAAATCATTATAATTGTAGCAATCACCAAAAAATCTCAAACAGATCACATTGAATCGTAATCCAAAAAATTATGACGTCTTGAATTAACCACCCCCTTTTATTCTAAAACGATAATTGCGGTTGTAAACAGACTTTGGTTTATTCGCATGGCGATTACATATATAACTATATATTTCAAAAAGAAAATAGAGTTTTACCATGAATAGTTTCCTGCCCATAGTCTTTTTCAGTCAAATGTGCCTTGCAAACAACAGCTGATTGAGATGGACTCCACGATTGCATCGTGTTCTCGTCCAATCTGCGTATGGGCCATGGCGTTGATCCAACTTTTCCTTCTTTTCAAGTCATTTGGAAATGCATGTCCTCCTCTTAAATGACATCCAGGTACACAACAACAAGTACTTGGCATCGTTAATTAAAAATGTAACTGAAATAGTTGCACAGTGCAGAAACCGGAAAGTGAGGAACAGGTTCGGCTACCACGGCGCCACCTATTCAGGAACGATAATTTGCTACTTTATATAACTGCGAAATAACAATAACGTTAGACGGGTTCACGTGCATAAACAGAAATGTGCTTTAAATTGTATAATATAATTCATGTTCAGTCGACCTTTAATTATTATATCAACGTCTGAAATGATTTATAAACATCTAGATTACAGATAACCCGAGCTCTTTCCACACGGAATTCAAATAATTCTAGTTTGTCAATCGGTTGACTGCTTATAATGCAAAATACAAATATATCAAAAGTTTTCAAAACTAACAAAACACAATGATCGTTTCTCTATTTCCCAATGTATATGAAATGAAACAAAAAACATTTTATATCACAATAAGAAGAGGAGAGAATTCAACATTTCCGGATCTACTTGGAGCCTAATGACCCCCACGTAGATAAGTTGGATATCGCGGAAGGAAAGATTAACCCGGCAACCAGAAAGGCATTAAAGCACTGCCTTTAAAAACCATGTTACCTGAACATAGGAATTATATGAATTAATTGTCTAATATCTAGAAAACCATAATAGATATAGAAATAAATCATTCGCGCAAAAAATGCTCATGATATCAATTTTTACTTATTTCCCATTTCCACCAAAATGATCGGACGGCTTCTTTAAATGACTCCTTTCAAGAGTACCCCCCCCCCCCCCCCCCCCCCCTAAAATGACGACTTTTGACTTATTCGCGAGGTTTGCCTTTTATCTCGAAAACTATGATAGGTTGGAACTATAAAATAATCAACAATGCAAGATATATATTTTTGAGAGGTGAGCGATTCAGGCTATTAGGTATTTTGTAATTTTAGTTTAATGAATTAGCTCTTATCGATAAATGGAGCAACATATTTTCTCTCGAATATATGAGACAGATTACAATGTGTACAGAAGCTTCTGAATATAGTCTACTATTTTACTGTATGTCAATACTCTTATCTCGGAAATAAAGAGTGAGTTCTCATTTGACGGAAAAAAATACGACCAACAGCTGTTTTGCAAAACTACAAAAAATAAGATAACTCCGCTACTGCCAAACCCTCGGTTCCCTAAGAAACGGCTCACTATATTTATACAGAAATAAGATAAAACGTATTTATAATAACACTGTATCATATTACAGCTACATGTATATAAATAAGTCTGAAAAATTAAGGCTGATATAAAAAAAAAAATCTAATTTGTCTGTTAACACTTCTCACAGATCATTTTACGTATTCAACTCACAATTATATGGAAATGATAATTTCTGTTGACCCTAAACTTTGTTTAAAACACGTACGAAATAGAAAACAATATTATGTATAGAGAAAAGACTATCTTATAAATATTTAGATGATACTTTCATCAGCATTAGTCTGGTTTTTGTCTGCAATTTTATTTTTAATGTCAGTACTCTTAACCCGTCAATATTTTATTAAAGAAAAGTACATGTATGATTCAGTGAAAGTGAATAGTTGCTTTGATGCTGTTGGTTTTTCTCCTTTCTTTTCGGAATGAAACCAAGTTTCTTGTAAACTTGCGAAACTGCTGGCATCATATAAATAAAGTAATTGCGCCTTGAACTGCGCCTTGAGCAGTGTGGATAGAATAATGCATATATACCTCCAAACTTGTTTGTAAGACATGTAAAATTACGACACTGTTAACCAGACTCAAGCTAGCGAACAATAAGCCAGCGAACAATAAGGTGTATCAAGCTAGCGAACAATAAGCCAGCGAACAATAAGAAATACGCGCCAAACTGATCTTGCCTAAAAACCGAAGACTTGCAATAACATGAAACGTTCTTTGAAATCTGATGACAATCATTTCCAGTAGGAAGACGAAATGCAATACATTTTCAAAAAGACTATTAATTGAAAACTGTTTATTTATTTATTTATTTATTTATATATTCAAGACAACATAATTGTTCTTGACCACAGGACATCTCTTGTAGGATTTTCAAAATTCCTTTTAGGTTCTCCTCTCCCTTTTTTGATTACCTTTGAGTAGAAACGGTTTGTTTTTATAATCATGATAATAGCGAATAAATAAAAAAAATAGACCATACTTAACTAGTGTAAAGATAAAATTAAATCCACATGCTTATATTCTTTTTAAAAGAAAACAAAATACCGATTTTGGAACGTAAAGTACAGAATTTTGCAGTCAGAATTATAAGATGAAATAAAAGCTTATAAATATCCACAGTTTTCGTTAGGAATGATTGAAAACTTGCAATTTATTTATTACATTTCAATAGGAAATGTGTTTTATGTGACAATGACACACGTGACACGATATCTGAATGGATATAAAGATTTTAGCTACTTTAACAGACAAAATTTTCAAATCAAAGCTTTTCAAGGAGGCATATTTAAAAAAAAATCGGGAAACAGACGGAAAAACCGAAATCAGAAGAACAATTTCTTTACACTGATTTAAATTAACAAGAAGAGGATGCAATCACAACAAAACAAACTATTTCATTTTAACATTGGAATTATAATCGGGGAAACGGTCCAAAGTTGGGGTAGGGTGACCCAACCCCCTCCCTTCTTTAATTCATAAAAAAGTCCCTACGGCAAAGCTTTTGTTCACACCGGGCACAAATGATAGGCAATTGCCTAAGGTTACCTGGTGCCAAAGACCTAGGTGGGTAAAATTACGGAACTTTTATAATTGAGGTCCAAAGTTGGGGTAGGGTGACCCAACCCCCTCCCTTCTTTAATTCATAAAAAAGTCCCTACGGCAAAGCTTTTGTCCACACTAGGTACAAATGATAGGCAATTGCCTAAGGTTGCCTGGACCAAAAGACCCAGGTGGGTAAAATTACGGAACTTTTTTAATTGAGGTCCAAAGTTGGGGTAGGGTGACCCAACCCCCTCCCTTCTTTAATTCATAAAAAAAGTCCCTACGGCAAAGCTTTTGTCCACACTAGGTACAAATGATAGGCAATTGCCTAAGGTTGCCTGGACCCAAAGACCCAGGTGGGTAAAGTTACGGAACTTTTTTAATTGAGGTCCAAAGTTGGGGTAGGGTGACCCAACCCCCTCCCTTCTTTAATTCATAAAAAAGTCCCTACGGCAAAGCTTTTGTCCACACTAGGTACAAATGATAGGCAATTGCCTAGGGTTGCCTGGACCCAAAGACCCAGGTGGGTAAAGTTACGGAACTTTTTTAATTGAGGTCCTAATTCCTGAAATAACATTTTTTGTAGAATCAACGTATAGACAATGTAAAAACTATGTTAATGATTACCTTTCAAGACAAAAGTGTTTAAGTAAATTGATTTTTTCTTGAAAAAGCGGATTTCGTTTTTCTTTTTGTTAAAGGTTTGAGAACTATATTATGTATCAATGTATGGTGCGCAACTTTTTTTATGAATTAAAGAAGGGAGGGGGTTGGGTCACCCTACCCCAACTTTGGACCTCAATTAAAAAAGTTCCGTAACTTTACCCACCTGGGTCTTTGGGTCCAGGCAACCTTAGGCAATTGCCTATCATTTGTACCTAGTGTGGACAAAAGCTTTGCCGTAGGGACTTTTTTTATGAATTAAAGAAGGGAGGGGGTTGGGTCACCCTACCCCAACTTTGGACCTCAATTAAAAAAGTTCCGTAACTTTACCCACCTGGGTCTTTGGGTCCAGGCAACCTTAGGCAATTGCCTATCATTTGTACCTAGTGTGGACAAAAGCTTTGCCGTAGGGACTTTTTTTATGAATTAAAGAAGGGAGGGGGTTGGGTCACCCTACCCCAACTTTGGACCTCAATTAAAAAAGTTCCGTAACTTTACCCACCTGGGTCTTTGGGTCCAGGCAACCTTAGGCAATTGCCTATCATTTGTACCTAGTGTGGACAAAAGCTTTGCCGTAGGGACTTTTTTTATGAATTAAAGAAGGGAGGGGGTTGGGTCACCCTACCCCAACTTTGGACCTCAATTAAAAAAGTTCCGTAACTTTACCCACCTGGGTCTTTGGGTCCAGGCAACCTTAGGCAATTGCCTATCATTTGTACCTAGTGTGGACAAAAGCTTTGCCGTAGGGACTTTTTTTATGAATTAAAGAAGGGAGGGGGTTGGGTCACCCTACCCCAACTTTGGACCTCAATTAAAAAAGTTCCGTAACTTTACCCACCTGGGTCTTTGGGTCCAGGCAACCTTAGGCAATTGCCTATCATTTGTACCTAGTGTGGACAAAAGCTTTGCCGTAGGGACTTTTTTTATGAATTAAAGAAGGGAGGGGGTTGGGTCACCCTACCCCAACTTTGGACCTCAATTAAAAAAGTTCCGTAACTTTACCCACCTGGGTCTTTGGGTCCAGGCAACCTTAGGCAATTGCCTATCATTTGTACCTAGTGTGGACAAAAGCTTTGCCGTAGGGACTTTTTTTATGAATTAAAGAAGGGAGGGGGTTGGGTCACCCTACCCCAACTTTGGACCTCAATTAAAAAAGTTCCGTAACTTTACCCACCTGGGTCTTTGGGTCCAGGCAACCTTAGGCAATTGCCTATCATTTGTACCTAGTGTGGACAAAAGCTTTGCCGTAGGGACTTTTTTTATGAATTAAAGAAGGGAGGGGGTTGGGTCACCCTACCCCAACTTTGGACCTCAATTAAAAAAGTTCCGTAACTTTACCCACCTGGGTCTTTGGGTCCAGGCAACCTTAGGCAATTGCCTATCATTTGTACCTAGTGTGGACAAAAGCTTTGCCGTAGGGACTTTTTTTATGAATTAAAGAAGGGAGGGGGTTGGGTCACCCTACCCCAACTTTGGACCTCAATTAAAAAAGTTCCGTAACTTTACACACCTGGGTCTTTGGGTCCAGGCAACCTTAGGCAATTGCCTATCATTTGTACCTAGTGTGGACAAAAGCTTTGCCGTAGGGACTTTTTTTATGAATTAAAGAAGGGAGGGGGTTGGGTCACCCTACCCCAACTTTGGACCTCAATTAAAAAAGTTCCGTAACTTTACCCACCTGGGTCTTTGGGTCCAGGCAACCTTAGGCAATTGCCTATCATTTGTACCTAGTGTGGACAAAAGCTTTGCCGTAGGGACTTTTTTATGAATTAAAGAAGGGAGGGGGTTGGGTCACCCTACCCCAAC